TTTTTTTTTTTTTTTTTTTTTTTTTTTTTTTTTTTTGAAGTTTTAGGATTGTTACAAAGGCGTACCTCCAAGTTTTATCATAACATGTAATTTTATTGTAAGAAATTATGTAATTTTATTGTAAGAAATTATTAGGATTATATTAAAATCTATTTTTAAATCTAATTTGAAAATTTTAAATTTTAAAAATGGTTAAAATCAAGTAGATCTATAAATATATGAAAATCTTGAAAATGGACGGTTTAGATAATATGTTGTAAGATGCACTATTTTTTGGATTAAAAAACTTCTTTTTTTTCATATTCGTACATTTCGATGTCGAGATGACCAATTAGAAGGTTTTTCAAAATTAAAATAACATTTTCAATAGATTTTTGAATTGCATCTGTGATTCTACATTTTAAGGTTGCAACCTTATATAAACTTTTCCTTTTCCTTTTCTACAAGACATATCAAGATAATCAACACTCTTTTCTATTGGATTTTCAAGGTACACCTTACTCCCATAATATAAATTTTTTTCTTTTTCTATAGGACATATCTCTCTTGTATACAACGTGTCTTCATACTCAAATGCCAAGTATGATGCCAATGACTTCAACCAACGCCACCTCCAAACCATGTAAAAAAGATGCATGATTAGTCTCTAAACTTCAAAATAAGGCGCACCTCTGAATCCTGAAAGAAGATGCAAGACCGGGGCAAAAATTTTAGGGGTAGCAATGGACACAGACCCGACCCAGAACTGTTGGGTATACTCAACACGGGTCGGGGTATGGGTCTAATATTTGGACCCGATGGGTCAGGTTGAAGTCCAAAACCTTGACCTGAACACTATTTAGGTCTGGGTCGGGGTCCGGTTGAATCCAACCCATACCCGACCTATACCTGTGAATTGTTGGGAATAAAATACTTTAAGCCCTATTCATTTGGATGTATTAAAGATCGTATACAATAAGACTTGTAATCATCTTTAGCTATTAAATAACAAATTAGACCGCTTATTAGCTATTAAATGACAAATTTCATGGCTTGAAATCTAATGGCGGGCGATTGTGACCTTGTTGCTAATAATACGGGTGTATGATAGTAAAAAAGGGTAAAAAAAAAAAAACCATAGTGAAGGTGGCAATGGACCTGAGACCCAATGGGTGGGACCCGACGGGTATGGGTCCAATTTTTCGACCCGAGGGGTCGGGTCCGGGCCAAAACGTGGACCCGAATACTTTTGGGTCTGAGTCTGGGTCTAAGTCCAACCGGACCGACACATACCTGACCCATTGCCACTCCTAAAAAATTCTTTTGACCACTTTGACAATCTATTTATCTGTAATCATGAAATTTAAAATTTTTAAAATAAACACATACTTTTTTTTAAATATTATAGT